ACAAGGGGGCAAAGCATGTCCACCTACGCCTCCATCTTGATCAGAAGCCTAGTTACTATCATCTTCTGACCTGTCTTTTGTTAGGAGTTTGATGTTGCTGGTAGAAATTCGAGTCCATGTCTTAGATGTACTGCATTTGTATAAAATATGAACTCTAATGTGTAGAATTTGCAGGTCGCTGAAGTGTCACAGTCTACTGAAATGGGTCTGGAATCAATAAGGTACACATCAAACTCAATTGTGTTTAATTTTCATTGCTACCTAGAGGAAAACCTAGCATAGCCCTACACGAGTGAAATTAAACATGAAAGCCCGTCTGAAGTGTAGAAGCAATACTTAAAATGACCTGTAAATAGGGTAAAACATGGCAGCCCAGCCCATCACGACATTATTGTTCATTTTTCTTTCCATAGTGGAGGTGACGGCCGCCATAAGAAAATCAGAAGAGACATGAGCACATTGGAGATCGAAAGGAGAACAAAGTGTTTTCAGTTACACACCAGCAGGACTTTCCTCTCTGTACACCCCCAGGGTCTCTTCCAAGTGGAAAATCACACTATGCCCTTCAGCAGAGAGCAAAGAAGGAAGGTGAGTAAAACAAGGCCCTCCTGAACTTGGCCAGCCCCCACCCCCATGCCACCCCAGCTATGTTCCTTGGCCAGTGAGATAAAATAACATTCAGCTCTGGCAGCTGACAATGGTGGGGGGCAGACACCCACTCGGGGCACTTCCAGCCGACACTGACCTTTCAGTCATGGAAACATTCCCCAGACCGACACTAATCGGGGGCACATCTGGCGTTTGGACTGTGTCCAGATGGGGGTTGTGTTAGTCGAGTCAGCAAGATAACCCGCTGGGGAGGCAGGGGAGGGGAGAATGCAACACTGCTGAGAGCAATCAACATCTTCAGCTGTATGTGTGTGAGATGTGGTCATGCTGTGGCCGGTGAGTCATAGAATGCAGACCACCTAATCCCTGTCCACCCACTCTCCCTACCCCCACCAACAGAGGAAAAAACTGGAGAGAACCAGAGAGCCAAAGCAACTTCCCCAGGGTTCCACAGGTGGTCAGGGGCAGTCTAAAATCCCAGAGTTCTGACTCCACTATCATGCACTTCCCATGTTTCTACACTCTTTCAAAGTGTAGTATCGTGCATATTATCTAGAGGTAATATGCCAAGAGCTAAGGTGATGAAAAGAATCCAGCTGTTTCTTCTCTGCCAACTTCCTATGACTTGTAAATGTATAGGATGATTTTCCAAGGCAGGGACAAGTCCTCATCCCAATTCTTTCACTGTAGCTTCTTTTTTGGATTTGAAAGGAGGGGTTGCCTTTCCTGACTGGTTTCTGGATGTTTTTCAGAAATGAACACAATCCCTCCTGTCCCCAGGGTCAGGGACTGCAATTGAGAACAAGAACTCGTGGTATTGAAGGTCCAGCCATACACGGCGAGAATGACCCAAGATCTTGGTCAGCTCTCAGGATTTGCCCTTACGAAATCTGACACCCATTGTAGCCAGGAGCAGCACTAATAAAGAGATAATTACACAACCCAAAACCAGGATAAAAGTGATTATGCCCCCACCCACCCACACAGAGGGCCTTCTCTAGCCGTCAGAAGAAAATTCTTTCCATGGCCCCTGGAGAGCACATCCCACACGTGGGCACCATGTTTCAAGTGTCCACCAAATGATCCTTTCCTGTAAAAACCTCCAGGCACAAATAAAAATGGAAATCAGGAATCTCATCCCCCTGCTCAAATCAAAGAGATTAGCAGGATCTTCTAGTATAAGAACTGCAGAAATCAGTTCATCGTTTTCCCTTTATTTGTTATAAATTCACTTAAAAAACAGGGAAGGCCCTTATCAATGTGGCTCAGTAGGTTGGGCATCATCCCCACAAAGCTAAAGGTCACCAGTTTGAATCCCAGTAAGGGCACATGTCTGCACTGAGGATTGTGTCTCCAGTCAAGGTACCTATAAAAAAAGGCAACCCATCGATGTTTCTCTCTTACATCAATCTTCACTCCCATCAAAGATACTTTATTCCTACCCACCTGAATATGGAACCCTACTCCAGGTTCCTCACTTCTGTTGTCCTATCTGAGAAATAGCTTTGTCTACTACTGTTGGGCAGAACAGTAGTCACTGAGACAGAAAAGTGATCCTCCTTCCCCCTTTAGGGGACAGTTTATCAGCGTCACCCTCCTCAGGAGGATTTCATCACACTCCACAAGGTCTCCAGGTCTCTGAGAAGGTATCCACAGACACCATCACTCTTTCTAAAGCGAGTCGGGGTCTCTGCTGCTACCAGCCCTCCCCCCACCACCCAGCAATTTGGCACAAAGCCATTCCATGTCCCATGCCAAAGCAGTAATTCACAGCACTCATCAAAATCTGCCTGCATCAACTGATTCAGCATTCCTGCATTCAGAGCATAGCCAGCCTCCTGAACACCCTGACAGCCTCATCTTTGGCATCACTGTTTACATCACACAAGAGCTTTGGGCTTAGAAAGCTCAATTCCATTTGGTTAAAAGTATGCAGATGATTCATCCTTTCAGAAAAGACTACTCACCCCAGGTCTTGATATCCACACCAAAAAGCTTCTGAGATGGGGCTCAGAGAGGACAGAATGGGAGTGTCCCATTGCTATAGAAACCAATGTGCCAGTTTCCAAATGAGAAAGACTAGCTGTTCACCGGGCACTGCTTTGCCAGGCCTTCCTGTAGAAACCGAGGAAGGCACCGGCCTGGAGCAGCTGCGGGCATAGCCTGGGATCACCATGGAGCCCCCGGCCACACTGACCCACCGCAGACATTCCATCTGGCCTCCCGGGAGGTTTCTCCAGCACGGCTCTCCAGCCCAGTGAAACATTCACTCTGTGTCTATAGACAAGAAGGGTTTTGACTCCATTCTGTGTTTTAGAGAGTGAGTTAAATTCCGTTAACTTTGGCCGGGGTTTAGGGGAGTGAGAGGGATGACAAATAACAACTTGTCTGAACTTTTTACATTTCTCCCCAGCGCTTCAGTCAGGTTCACAGCAAGGTCATCAGTGATAAAGAGAGAGACCTCCCAGCTGGCCTGGCCCTGAGCTCTAAGGGGACACTTCACAGTGATAAGCTGACAAGACTTAGAAACTGATTCACATACTAGGAGAAGCATGGAGCAGGGGCAGAGGGGAGTCAAGGATCCGGGCAAGAATGTCCAGAAGGGAAACGAATGTAAGTGTCAGATGCCCAACATTCCAGGGATGGAGGGAAAAGAGGTAGTCTCCATCAGGCGAGGTGTATAATGGGGACGGTGAGCTCCCGAAAACAGAGCCTCTGGCTGCTGGAAGGTCCAGGGACAGAGACAGTAAAACGAATCGTAGACACTGAGGGCTCACTATGCACAGGCACTCTGGGCCATGTACACTGTTGCATGTATCACTGCAGTCCTCATCGCAACCCTAGAGAACAGAGACCACCACATGTCCATCGTACAGGTGAGAAAAACGGAGACCTTGAGAGGCTAGTTCAGGTCACGTAAATAGTAAGTAAAGGGACTGGGATTCAAACCAAGGCCAGGATCGTACTTTAAATTTTTTAAATATATTTTCAGAGAGGGGTGGGAGGGAGAAAGAGAGGGAGAAACATCAATCGGTTGCCTCTCACTTGCCCCTAATGGGATTTGAACCAGTGCTTAAACCACTGAGCCACACTAGCCAGAGCCAGTGTACTCACGCTTGACCACCAAGCTAGAGCACTGAGCCTTAGAAATGGTGACCATGTCCACTAATGAGACCACGTCCATTACAAATGAGAATGTGAATGGTGTTTGGAGGAGTTTTAAGATCTCAGAAGACAGCTGTTAGCCTCATTCTGACCAGGATACTAGTCATTCACTTCAGGGAGGACCATTTTGAAGAAAAGCATATCATAATGCTTATCACAAGTGCCTATTCTCTAAAGGTCAATCCAGTGGACAACCGCTGCCTGTCCACACTCCTTCCAGCAAAAACACAACAGAGCGCAGTGGGCCGAGCTGAGACTCTCGAAGAGAAACTTTTGATGGGCCCTCTGGATACCAATCCATGACTTGTCCATCTTTTGGAGGTCTTGGGGGAGACAGCGGGCCCCTGAGACAAAGCTGGAGCAGGACAAAGAGGCTCCACCCACCTCATATTTGCCCAGAAACCTCCTCTATCTTCCCATACTCTGCCCTCCCCAAATTACCCACTAGAATTAGACCAAAGGCCTCAAGAGTCTCCAAGGGACCAGGTGAGGGTAGGGGTCAGATTTGTCTCTTTCAGCTGCTGTTTTCTGAGTACTTTAGGCTTGGTCTAGTGCAGCTGAACCCAACACGTTCAGTGGGTGGTGGGTGTTGGAGGTACAGATGGAGAAGTGTATCTAAGATGCGTAAAACCTTGGTGCGAAAAGAAAGGCCTGAGAAACAAAACCAAAGGAGGGATGCGATTGCACAAAGCTGGGGAATCTAAAGAGTCCCTTAGGTGCCTGAAGGACCAATGTCGTAAGAATTTTAAGAGGTGATAAAGGTAACCTGCTGTCAAAGGAGGCAGATATAGCTAAAGAAACAAGTGAAATTAATTCCCTTCCCAAGCCACCCTCAAGGTGAATGGCTACCAGATGGTCAGACAGAAATACCTGTCCACAGGCTGCCCAAGAAAAAAATAAATGCAAAAAGAAATCAGATCCTACACACTGAGCAGGTGAGCAGGAAATTAAAATATCTGTACGCTGACCACAGTGCGAGACCACACACGTCTATGAAGAGGCTGTTAGGAAGACAGTGTGAGCCCGAGTTAGTGCCTCTGCTCTGTCTGCCGCCCACACCCCGAGTGCACCGGAAAATGCCTTCAGAGAACACCCAGCAATTTCAACAGGGGTGAAGATGGGACAGCGGAGACCAGAGCCACTGAGGGGAAATGCACACACACACCAGACTTTGCCATTAGACCAAGTAACAATCTCTTTACCTGAGCACTTACTTTGGAACGGGAATTTTGCAGGGATATTTCTAAGTGTCCCAGTAGCTTCTGAAATGGCTGTCATGATTCTTGCAAGTAATCCTTCCCTTTAAGTGTGGTCTGGACCCAGTGACTTGCTTCTAATAAATAGAATATGGCAGAAGTGACAGTGATGGGTTGTCACTCCCATCAAAAAAAATAATCTCTCTGAATGTATGCTTGTATACTTCTCATTCTCTCTTTGAATCTTCTTTTTTGTGCCCTGGTTGCTACAAGCCTCCTAGGACACACACACACACACTCTCTCTCTCTCTCTCTCTCTCTCTCTCTCTCTCTCCCCCCACCAGGAGAAGGAGGGAGCTCAGCCACCTCTTGTCATTGTTCAGCTCCTTCCCAATCAATCTCCTGCCAACCACAAATTAGCATTACACAGGCATTTACAGTGCAGCCCCCAGGGGTAGAAGAAGCTGCTAATCCTTAAGAAGTGGCAGTGGTACAATGGCAGGAGGCCCCCACCCTGGGGGTGTTCCTTTGTGAGTGGTCCAAGTCAACCACAGATGGTGAAGTTGCTGGGCCCGGGGCAAAGAGGAGACAGTAGGAGCCCCAGGAACACAGAGCTTTGCAAAAGGCCGCATGACACTTGCTCCTGAGGCCCCAAGCCCTGGAGAAGACTCCCCTGAGTTGGATCCCCTCTCAGAGCTTCCAGCCTGGTCCTTGTAGCTGCAGTTTTTCATTTTGACTGGTGGGAGCAACCTGGAGCACAAAGTACCCTGGGCCAAGCCATAGTTAGATCTGCTCTGCCCTCTCAGCAACTCGGATTAACAAACCCCAAGGTTTTGTTTGTTTTCTGTTCTTTTTCCTAATGGATTGATTTAGCCTTATGAAGTCTGATTGAACTTCCTGATCCCAAAGGAAGGCAGCCCTGGCTGGGTTCCTAGGGTCATGTCCCCAAGTGCTGCCTTTCTTCGGGCCCCAGGGGCCCCTGCAAACGCAGCCCTTCCTGCTGCAGTCCCAAAAGTGGGCTCTTGCAGCCTCCACCTCCAAAGCTCCTGGCATCCTTATCCCGCAGCTGGGTCTGGAAGCAAGGGGAGCTTGTGAGAGGGGAAGCCTCTTATCACAAACATTTCCTGCCTATTCCCTCTTGACCCTGCATACCACAGCCCTTCCCTGGCCAGTTGGGCCACCAACGACGGCCCCAGCAACCTCTTCATAAAGGGCAGGCAAGGCAGGATCCCCCAGGCCCGTCTCTGCTCCAGATTCCTTTCCATCCACACTGTTTCCTTCTCCAGGGAGCTCATAGGTTCTTACAGCTCAGTCACTGAAAAACACAGAAGGAAGTCAGGTAGAACTGAAAAGAGAGTACGAAATGCAGATAAGGATTTTTAGTTCAAATGGAAAAAGTGACTCACAGCTGGAGTTCCGCCCACCACCTCTAGGACCCTGCTCTCTATCTCCAACAAAGGGAGAAACAGCCGGAGGCAGGTGAGAGCAAGGCCTGTGCACCTGTGAGGGTCCGTGTGCCTGTCTGTGCCAATCCCCATCCCTTTGTCAGGCTGACGGCCTGCGTGCGCTGCCTGTGGAGTTAAAGACATTTAAACTATTATGGGCTTGTGTGCTGAAGAATTGGGAGCTAAAGGCCGGAGGGCCTAGGATCAGCCCAGCCCACCTGTGCTCAGCAGGTCACTGTGTCCCTAGGTTCTCCTCCCCTCCCCACACCTGGGGCACCCTCGTCCCATGCCTCCCCACAGCCTACTCTGGCCTGCTCTCTGCCTCCTGCCCCCAGCTTGCTGTGTGGTCTGAGCCCTCTGCCACCAAGACAGAGCGAGGGAGGGAGGGATGGGCCAGCATGTTTACAGTCAAGCATAACTGAACCTTTATTTTAAATAAATAAAACTCTTAGCCAGTTTTTATTTCTCTTTGCTTTCAAGACACTGTTTTCTCCCTCTTCTTCCTCCTTCTCATCAGGGCTGAGCCTTTATCTGTGGGGCCACCCAGGGAGGGGCTGTGGGAGGGGGAGGAACAGAGGCCAGGCTGACCCTGGTATTTAGTGTCTTCTCAGGTCATGTGACTCCCACTCCCTCCCTCCTCAAATGCCCACAGAGCCCCTGGGGTTCTTATGAATTCAGGGATGTCCAGGCCTGAGGAATAGAGACTAAACAGGAAGCCCGGGCCCCCTCACCAGCATGGTGTCCATCTGTTCTCACCAATCACAGTGCTGCCTACCCCCCGCCCCCACTCCACTATGAAATTGCCATCCATCTGTCTTCTACTTTGGCCTGTCATCTCTCTGTCTCCCCTGTTGGACCCTCATCCATCTGCCTCCCCCAAAGGACAACCGTCTCTCAGTATCTCCTTTGGGTTGTCATAAGTCCACCTTCCCCATGAGATGTGTCATCTGTCTATCATCCCATTGGCCTGTCATTCCATCTGATCCCCTTGATCACGCTTTTCCGTCCATCTGTCTCCCCTCACGGGGTAGCTTCTGCCCATCTGTCTCCCGGGGTGCGGCCAGCAATGGTGGGTCCTTGTAATACAGAAACAGTTGGGATTCTGTTCTGACTTTGATCCCAGCAATAATAATAGTAGCTGCCATCAATCAAGTATCTACAATGTGCCATACACTTCACATCCTCCAACAGCCCTAGGAGTATGTATGTGTTTCCTCATTTTACCAGTAAGGAGACTGAAGCTCAGGAGGGTTAAGTATCTTGCCCAAAGTCACACAGCTCCTAGCGGCAGATGCGGGGTCCAGAAGCAGGTCTACCCACACTGAATGGGAGTGAGGACACATTTAGTCCCACACCCCCAGGATATGAGATCGCCCCCTCTCCTGGCCTCTCTGAACATTTAATTTACACTTTGCTGCTGGATATTTTCAGCCTGATGAAGTTTCCTCTCTGCCCTGGCTCTGCACAAAAAAGTAAAGGAAGAAAAGCAGCCAGATGTGAGAGGCTTCAGAGGTCTTCGGGGGGCGGGAGGATGGAGAGTGATGTTAAATAAACATCCAATGATATTCTTTCTGCAAAACAATCCATTTTCCTGGCACCCAGGAGTTCGTCCAAGGGTCTGTGGGTCACTGGGGAAAAGCGTTCCGTGTGTTTTGGCTCCATATTCTTCCATTGGCCACAAAGACCTAATTCTTCCAATTAATGAAATCAGCACTGCTGATGGAGATGTACTGACAAATTATTTTCGAGACGAATATATTCACACCCATGGTGGGGCTGATAGGCCCAAAGGATGTGGGGGGTACACAGTGAAGGTCCCCCACCAGCCAGAGACACTAAGGTCATTCATGATGGCTGGGATGTTGGCCACAGCCTCAAGGGACACCTTACTCCACCCGGAGCCATGGAGGCTGGGCTGGTTTGTCTGTGTTGAGGGGCTGCCTATCAATGGGCTTCTGTATGGTCCTGGCAAGTTCTGGCACCCCTCCCCTCTCCCTTCTCTCCAAGGCCCCAGCCAAGTCCCCTTCAGGGCCTTGCCTGAAGGGCCTATTCAGCATTTAGGATTCCCTGATGGGGAGTGAAAAGGAGACAGACAGATGCTTCTGTGGAGCTGAGCAAAAGCTGGAGGCCTGAAGACAGGAAGGGAAGCCCAGTGCAAAAAAAAAGAAGGTGGCCCTGTGGGATGAGAAAGGAAGAAGGGAAGGGAGGAGGGGAAGCCAGGGGAGGGGACCCGGGGTGGGCGGACCAGATCGGGAGGGGCGGAGGCCGGAAAGAGGCCCCCAGGCGGAGGGAGAGATCCCAGTTGGGAGACCAAGCAGCACCAGAAAGCTGTGTGGGATTTTTTTTTAAAGCCACAGATTTAATTTCCTGATGATTTTTTTTTCCAAGTTGATATTAGCAGCATTTTTCATTCCCCGAGCAGATCTGCCAGTGTGGAAAACTGATCCAGAACGTGCTGGGTGACGGAGCCCAGACTTTACCCAGACAGGCCCATGAGGACGACCAGGGTGAAGTCCGAATTTCATCTCCTTCTTTGAACCCCTGGAGAATAGGACCGATTTTGCTTCGGGCCAGTCCTGGAGGAGGGGGAGCAACAGTTTCCCGGCAGCTGTGGTGAAAAAGTGGCATTCAGAAGGGAAGGGTGAAATTAGCCCTATGAAACTAGCGGGGTCCGTCTCCGTTTTCCTGCCTGAACCCAGAATGAGTCCGTTTTCTGAGCATTGGGAGTTATGTTAGGAGCTAAAGGAACCAAAGGCCAAACTCTCTCCAGAGCATCCCCTACTACCACCAAACATCTTTCGAAAGCCTCCTTTCCCTGCTCACAATCCATCTGTGCAGTCCTAGGCTTGCCCAACGCAGTCCACACCACAAGCCAAGAAAGCAAGGCCCTCAGGAAACCAGAACGATCCCGCAGCCCAGGCATCCTGGGGGCTGGCACCATGGACACTGGAGCAGAGGCTGCACTTAACAAGACCCCTGGGTCACCAGATACACAGGACAGTGTGAGAAGTCCTGCTCCTGGCTGCTTCCAACCCACTCCAGAGAACCTGCTCCCCCCACAAGCGGGATTTGTAAAATTCTCCAAACACCTTTCACTTGTCCATTCCTCAGTGCTGGCTCCTGTCATCTCCTCCATCCTGAAGATGGAGCACCTATGCACACTGAGGAAATCTTGTCTCATGTTAAGACCTAACTCAAATGCTACCCCTCCCTTAAGCCCTTCCCACCATCCTTTTTCCTTGCCAGAGTTAAGAACTTTGGCCACCGTTTGTTTAGAACACCCACAGAGTGCTCTTCACTTTCTGTCTTGCATTTTGGTTACTCCTGGACTGATCCAGGGGCTGTACTATGTAGTTCACAGGTCTTCCCAGGTTCAAATCCTTTGCCCCCTGCTTCCTAACTGTGACACTTGGCAAGTGCCTAACCTCTTTGGACCTATTTCTTCACCTATAAAATGGGGCTAATAATTATAGGTAGTCATAAAGTTGTTGTAAGGATGTTTAAAATATATTGCAGGTCTATATGCCAAGCAATGGCATATAGTATGTGCTCAGTAAGTGACTGTTAATTGAATGAAGTGTTCTAAAAATTAGTGTTCATAATAACAGAGGGAAGAAGAGATAGTATCCACAAACCTCACATGATACAGTCTTCCCAGAGCTGATTGTGTTTTGTCCCTTTTTTTAGCACCATAATCTGTTTTTTTTTAATTAGCAATAAACTGTTGTTGGTGGTGGTGGCGGTGGCGGTTCTCTACTAGTCATTGGATAAAAGACCTGCTTCTTCAACTTGGTCTTCACACTGTCCCCTTCTTGGGTGGGTTCTTTCTGCCCCATTTCCTGAGTCTGCTCTGAAAGCTCAACATTTTCTTTTCAGTATCTTTTAAAATATTTAAACTCGCCCTAAGTATTTATTTTATTTTCAACTTCTTTGTCTAACTTTATCAACGGTCTCATTAACATTCTTTCGACTCCCCCCAACATATTTCTTAAAACATGTATTCTGTGTTCTTATCTCCAGGGGAACAGTTTGGCTGGGTTTCCCACCAAGAGCGACACGATTCTTCCCACGTCAGTGCGGAGGGGGAATCTGAGAGCCAGTAGATTCGCATCGTCTAATGCTGCTCCCGAAGAACCGCTCAAATGCACAAGTAAGTCCCCACCTCGCCCACCGGCCAAATTTCTCAACGCCGTCTCTACCAAAAAAAAAGTTCTTTCCAGTTAAATCCTAAGGGAAAGTGAAATAAATACCAAAAAAGAAGCTTCCTGAAGAGGGAGGTCAATCCAAAGTCCAGTTGCCTGGGATTCCCATGGTCTCTGACACATCATATGACTCAATTATGGAATTGTTTTATTTCAATCCGTAAGCATTTTTAATTTCCTTTCATAGTCCCATATGGTGACCTGGTTCGGTTTAGATACAGTTCACATATCATCTGTCTCCCATGCTGTGTCCCATCTATAATTTTTATGTCTCAATCTTTAAAAAAAATGTTTTTTATCCAGGGGCAAAATATTGATCACTGCAACCAAGCTCTTCCCACCACAGTAGAAGAGTTTTCCTCTTCTTGCCACACTCCCCGTAGTCTTTAGAAGGAGAGAAAGAGCCAATCAAAGCTACTTGTTGAGACTTCAAGAAGCTGGGGAGAAATGGGACCTCGGGCAAGCGGGAATGTGATCTGCACGGGAAATCTCCGAGGGGACACCTGCTCCCCCATCAGTCTTTGTCTCCCAGGCTCCTGGAGGTGCAGCCCCATGGGAGTGGCTTCTTACTGGGAAATGGGGCAAACAAGCATAGCACCAGCAGGGACAGAGGGCTCTGTCTGTGGGAAAGGGACAATGGGTGAACTTTCAAGCCCAGGGGGTGGGGCAAGGCTTACAATTTAAGCTACTTGTCTGGAAACTCAATATTGCCCAGAGTATCGATTACCTCCCAGACTCAGATCCTCTCCTGCTCAGAGGGCAGGAGTAGCCAGGCGGGTCTCTGACATGAAACCCTATGCAGCTTCTAATTAACTCTAAGCAGTGTGCATCAGAGCCTCCTAGAAAGGACAATTGTTTTGCCTGATGGAAGGACACAAGAGTCACCAAGATTGGAATTTGAGTATGACAAAAATATCAAGAGGTCTCCATGTCTGCTGTGGTCCAGGGAGTCAAACAACAGCGGCTTCACTCTTTAAATCGCAGGGGCTGGGGCTATAGCTCCCCACCAAATTCCTGTCCGGGGGCCACTCTTCCAAAAAGAATCATAAGAACTTTTTTTGCCCTGCCTGCTGTTTTGGTATCAAGCACCTTTAGTACTCAAGCATCAAAATGTGAGGAACTGTCTTGACCCCAAAAAGATGGGTAAAGTTACAGAATCCCACTTAACATCTGAGTGTGAAGTCTCCCTCCAGTCAGTACAATGAGATGTTTTGATATAAGTATACATTATCAAATGATTACCACAATCAAATTAGTCAACATATCCATCATCACTTCCCATAGCTACCTTTTTTTTTTTGGTATGTGTCGTGATAACAGGAGACTGACTCTCAGTCAATGTCAAGTATATAATGCATTAACCTCAGTCACCATGCTGTACATTAGGTTTCCTTATCCATCTGATACCTGAAAGTATGTATCCTTTGATCAGTATCTCCCCTTTCCCTCATCCTCAGCCTCTGAGGACCACTGTTCTACTCTGTTACTATGAATTTGACTTTTCTTTGTTAGATTCCACATATAAATGAGATCATGTGATATTTACCTTTCTGTGTCTGGCTTACTTCACTTAGCATAATGTCCTCCAGGTAATCCCATGTTGTTGCAAATGGCAGAATTTTCTTCTTTTTAAAGGCTGAATAATATTCCATCGTATAGGAAACCCATTCATCTGTCAACAGACATGTAGGTTGCTTTCACCTTATGATATGATGTGCTTTTGATAAACACTGGGCTCCAAGATGATGAGCCCCAATGATCCTTACCCTCTGGTATTCATGTCCTTGCGTAGCCCCCTTCTACAATAACTAATAGGATTTGGGGGGTGGGGGGGCAAAACAGTGTGTGACTTCTGAGGCTAAGTCATAAATGACAGTGTTGCTCCCACCATGCTCTCTTTTGGCTCAGCCACTCTTAGGAACTCAGCTGCCATGTAGTAAAGACACTTAAGAAAAGTTATGAGGCCCTGGCTGGTGTGGCTCAGTGGATTAAGTGCCAGCCTTTGAACCAAAAGGTCGCTAGTTTGATTCCCAGTCAGGGCACATGCCTGGGTCGCAGGCCAGGTCCCCAGTTGGGGGCACATGAGAGGCAACCACATATTGATGTTCCTCTCCCTCCTTTCTCCTTTCTCTAAAAATAAATAAAATCTTTTTTAAAAAATAGAAACCTAATGGGGAGGTCCACATGGAGAAGAACTGAGGCTTCCCAACAATGTGAGAAACTGGAACCTTCTGCCAACACCCATGTGACTGGAGCATCTCAGAAACAGCCTTGGCTTTGAGACAAGCTTTCAGATTACTGCAACCTAATGAGGAACCTCAGGCCAGAGCCCTTAGATAAGCCGCCCTTCCTGACCCACAGAAACTGGGTGAGATAGCATTTGATGGTGATCTGAGCCTCTAAATTTGGGCTAATTTTTTCTGCAGCAATAAATAGCTAATCCCATGCTTTGTGTTCATTATCTATTGAGTCCTTGTGCCAGTCCTAGTAAGTATGTATTCTTGTCCCAATGTTCCAGAGGAAGAAACTGGGATTTAGAGAGGTTAAAATAAGAAGGAAAATCGGGGCTGAAATCTAAGTCTACTGGATTTCGAAGCCTGTGTTTTCACCTCTGCACAATACATTATTTTGGGTGCAAATGTAGACTTTTCTATGGGCAACAGAAGGTCGCAGTGGGAGAAGCAGTGAGTTCCACCCGCAAAGTCTGGAATTAGGTGAGGAGGAGGCAAGCAAGACCTGTTAGAAGATGTAAGGCCTGTGATGGAGATGAAGGATGAGGAGGTGTGCACCAGGCGGGCTTTTCAGAGGGAATGGCACCAGCAGAGGCCTGCACGCTTGAAGAGCCGGGGTCTTCAGAACCTGCCTGCAGCTTCTACCTCTACAAGAATCAAGGCCTTGCGGCTAGTTCTCCAGGGCAAAATCTTGGTTCTAGTCCAAGAACTACACTTGCAGTCCTAGGACCCCCCCCAAATCACTAGAGCCGGTGCCTTTTCCATAAACTGCCACCCTACTTTTGAGTAGCTCGAATCTCCTTTAAGTCCCCATTTCTTCTCTGGGTCAGTCCTCTTTTACAGACCCAGCTCCCTGGCATGTCTGAAACACACAGTTCTTCCTAGCAGGTGATGCTTGCTCCGTAGAGAAGTGTAGTTGTGATGTTTGCATTAGCATTCAGAACATAGCTCTTGTCTAATGCAAAATATCACACAAACCTCTCTTCTTTCTTTAGCAAGATTACTAGAATAGAACCTCAAGGAGATTCGGGGGACCAAGTATGTGGGATTTCAAAAAGGCATGCATCTTTTCTCGTGGTAGCCTTCTGGATACGTTAGTGGAGTATAAATTAGAGAAATACAGTACTGGAGATTAATAACTGCTTTAATCACCACATCCAAAGGATACTGACCACAGGTTGATGTCAACTTTAGAAGAGAGCCGGTATTGGTGTGAACAAGGACTGTGTCCTCAGCCCTCTCCTGGCAACATTTTTTAAATCAGTAACTTGAATGAAGATACAGAAAGCAGATTTATCAAATTTCCTAATGGCTGAAATGGGGACAGTTGGTAAATAGGTGGGATGGCAGAAATGAAAACAGCAAGATTCTCCAAAGGATGGGTGGGCATAGGTCAAATCCTCTGAGATGAATCTCACCAGAAACGAAAGCTCCTTTACCTGAGTTCCAAAAGCGACTGCACAAATGCACCGTGGAGATTTCCAACGTGGCGATAACTAAAAAAAAGAGAAGCATCGAAGGGTTTAGCCCGTGGTGAGTTAAACAGGAGGGAAGACACAGACCGCACTAAGCTGGCCTTCCGTGGAGAGGGAAGGGAGGAGGGGCACTTTGACTCGGACAGTTTACTGCTGAGATTCTGCAGCTCCCCGCCACCCCAGGGCTGTATTTAGTAACTCACACTCTACCCCATTAACTGTGTTTGGGTTCCCAGTGCCTACTGGCCCCCTCCCCCCGGAGCGAGCCTGGGAGCCCTTAGAAGGTAATGAGAACACTGAGAGCTTGGAGTCTAAGAAGAGCTTGGAAACTGAAGCTCTCCGAGCCTCTCCCCACGGCCCCATCCCCGCTGATAAGGATGAGAGGAGGCTGGCTGACAAGTGATTGGAAACAGGAGTTCCCAAACCCTTTAACCCTTGCCTGGCCTGCCCGTCCCTCTAACAACCGCTGAGGCCCTTTCCCTGTGGCTTCCCGCCATCTAGGCCAAAGCTCTTGCCTCTCACCACCAACTTTTCATTTTCCTCCTCCTTTGTCCTGACAGGTTGTTGAATGCTGTCATTCCACCTAGAAAAGAGTCACTACCGCCACCAAAGGCTACAGTGCAGCCCCTCCACCTTCAAGCCTCCCTGACAGATTGGCTATGGAGTCTCCCTCTGGCCCAGACTCCCCACCCCCACTCCCCCAACCCCTGCACACTTAGCCACCACACCTCACCTGTGCAGTTCACCAGTCTCCGCAGGAGCCAACCAGGTAAACGTCAGTGCTATCCGGTGTTGGCGGGTGCCAGGAGCAGAAACCCCAGGCCCGGCCCCAGCAGCCTGCTCCCAGAGCCACTCTCGGCTGCCCCGGCCTACTGTGGAGCTCTGCGGGGACCTTCGGGTGTCAACCCTGGACCCCACACTTGACTTTGCTGAGTCATCCCGAAGGGTATTGCCTGGCACGTGGATGGGCCTCACACTGAGAGAGGAGAGTGGGGGTGTGTCACTGGCAGTGGTCGGCAAGGCGGAAGCCTAGAGGGAAGCTGCCTGCTTTCCCTGGGGAGGGGCAATAAGGTGAAGCCAGGCTTCTGGCCACAGTAACCAAGTGTAAAAGAGCTTCCTTCAGTAGAACAAAATTCAGATAAACTGCCATTATTGTGTAAATTAGGTTTGCACCTAAAAGCCTTTACCCAAACAGGCCGTTTAATTAAAGCCCTAATCTCCTCTGGCATGTTCGACCCTGCCCCCACACCCCCGCCCCCACACACTGAGGTGGCAATGTCAAGATTTCCACTTAAAACACTTAACCTGTAAGCAGGCAAAACATACCCCAAAATGGGTTGGTCACTGTGACTTAGGGTGTTAGTTCCCTGAGGCTCAGATAGTCCTGATTAGGGTGCTGGGTGCTGATGGCAAGGGTGAGCCTGATTGGCCGTGATACTGGCAAGGGCGACGCTAACAGGGAAGCGATGGCAGCGGCCGGGCTTCAGAGAGCAGGGCGTGTGCATTGTTCAGGCCGACAGGCTCCCTCGTGCTCCCAAGAGGCGGGTGCCCATTTAGGATCCATTGCATGATATGAAAAGTCTGCGTTCTCCCCACCCACAGAAAGTGTGTGGCAGCCCTAACAGACTCAGAGGTAAAGACCCTGGTGTGAAACAGAAAAGGCAGGGGTAGACGAATTGACTTGTTCGTGGGTGTCCCCTTTTGTGAGGCCGCCCTGGCCACCGCTGTGAACCACAGAGGGATGCCAAGCCTGTCAGTGAGAACCCAGTGCTCTGGGGAAAGGCTGAAGCAATGATGATTCGCAGATCAGGCTATCTGCTGTAGGTAGGGAAGTGATTAGGAAAAAAGAAGAATGGAATTTGGGAGGAGGGGGCCAGGCTGGGGAGAAGCCCGGGCCCCAGAGTACTGATAGGGAGCAACCCTAGTGCCTTCTCACATGTACAAAATGCTTCAGAAATTTGTGCCTCCAAGTAGGGAAAGAAGGAAAGGAAATCAAGTACCCAATGCCAGGTACCTTAACATATGTTATGTCTTTAATTTCAGCCTTATAAGTCAACTCTTCTTTTAATTTTTGTTGTTCGATTACAGTTGACATTCAATATTATATTAGTTTCCGGTACACAGCATAGTGGTTAGACATTTATAGAATTTACAAAGTGGTCCCACCCCATAACTCTAGTGCCCACCTGGTACTGTACACATTTACTACAATATTATTGACTCTACTTTACATGCCATTCCCTCCCCACGCACCGCACCACAGGAGAAAACTGAGATGCGAGGTGGTGAAGCGACTTGCACAACGTCACGCAGCTTGTGATTGGCAGAGCCCGGATTCCCACACTGGCCTGCCTTACTGAGAAGGCGATGCTCCTCTGCTAAACCACAGCTCAGCCGCAAGGATTATAATGTTGGAAGGGGGATTAGCCACCCAAGAATACTCAACACATCACTCCTCCCCCCTCCGGCAAGAATATTTTCAACTCAGAACAATCCATTTTTTATGAGGGAGAGCAGGAAGGTCTCAGCAGGGATGAGGGAACCAACTCTCAGCCCAGAAGATGCGGCACAAGGGAGCCGGGCTCATGGAGCTTCTTGGGGTTCAAACCCAGAGGTAGAAGAGAGTTTTCTTCACAGGAAAGAAGCCTCAGGGGCTGTGGTGGGGGAAAGGGGCATCTGTAAGTCCTATCACACACAGCAGACTTCTCCACTTTACATCTTCCTTTTGTGGGGGCCAGAATAGGAGCCACATCTATTTTGGAAATTGAAACTCAAATCACCCTGAACCCTGCACTTTTTCTGTTCATTGTATGGACTTCATTACTCCTGGAGAACACATGGGCCTTCTTTAGAGGAAGTTGTATTTCTGGAAGTAAAACTCTCTGGATTCAGGAAATATCCCTGCTTCTTGGGAAATTCCTACTTCCTTGTAGTGTTGAGTTTTCTTTGCACAGGAGGAGAAGCCCTTTAAGGAGGATTTCATAAATCTTATGAATAAATGAGTAAGGCTGGGGGTCCTTGGGGAAGCAAAAATACCAGCTCCAGAGGGAGTGCACAAGCCCTTTGCTCTTGAATCCCGAGCAGGTTCTGCCCGGCCTGATGGTGGCCGGCACCCCACTCCAAAGCCAGGGGTTTCCAAAGGTGACTTGGAACGATAGTTACTGCTGTTTTGACTTCTGAAGCACAGCACTGGACTGAGGAAGACTCCTTGGCTCCAGGGCTCATGTGGATGGGTTAAGAAAATGGGATTTTGGACAAGATCTATTACAAAGTCCTTTGTCTCTCTTATAGCAAAGACAACAGAGAAGAATTTTAAAAGGCTGTCTGGGTCTCCAGAACCCCTCTGGAAGCAGAGGGCATGTCAACAGGTTCCAGGGCAGGCCCCAGAGGCCTCAGACCCGGGAGCCTTATTGGAATGCAATTACCCTAAGTGCTAGCTGTTAGGATGAAAAGGCAGGAATGCAATTATGGAAGGAGCACGCAGTGAGCTTTCATTGATTGACCTGTCCTGACTGATTCCATTCCCCACTGGGGTGATGTTGGGGGCCTTGAGGGTTGCCCTCTGCCTTCAGGTTATGAGAAAGAAAAACAGTCACTGCACAAAGCAAATGCCGATGCAAAGCTGGTGAGCACCAGGACGGGCTGTGGACCCCTGAAATTTCCTGGGAAATGTGCAAAATGGAAAATGTGCGTTTTATAGAAAGAAGCTCTACACTCATCACACGCTTAGGGGATTCTGCAGCCCCCAAACGGTGGAGAACCAGCAGGTCACAGGAGTGAAAGATCAGCAGGGTGGTTAGAAGAGGCCCCCTCAGTTTGCAATTCCAAGTGGCCTTTCCTGGTCAGGCAATTCCTGACCCATTTGGGTACAATTCTGAGTCAGCCACTTACCAAGCCTGGGGTCCATGAGAGAATTAAATGACATGAAGAGTGCAAAGCTCTTAGCCCAATGTCTAGCCTTTAGTAAGCTTTCAATAAATGGGAACCATTTTTATGTATATATTAAAGTTCAGAAAATACAGTGAAACACGTATACTCTTCTGAATGGTCTTTTGACTCCAAACTCACAGTCTAGATTCCGTAGAGGATTCCCTCCTCCAAAATTGAGTGGGACTATGAGACCCAGGGTCCTCAGACATTGCTTCCTCAAACCCTTCCCCTCCCCTGCAAGGCACCAGGGTCTGGGCACCCTTGGAGACAAGAGCTTCTAGGAGTAGAGGCACATTGTGTGTCTGGGTAGTGCCAAGGTAGTGGAGGGCACATCTGGGCCTGATCTGAAGCCATCACACCAGCCTGCCTCCTGGAGGGAAGTTTCTGGAAACTCCAGTTACCAAAGTCTTCCTACCTACTGAGATAAAGCAGCCAAACACTCAGTTGAAATGGACTTTTCTATCCCAACAGGCCCAGAGTAAGACTAAGCTGAGGCCCAGCATCTACAGACGTCTAGAGTGGGACTAGGAAAAAAATTTTCTCTTCTTTCCTTCTGCATTAAACATGTCTTATCTACGGCCATACCACCCTGAACGTGCCCGATCTCGTCTGTATTAAGCATGTCTTTTTATTTTCTACATTCTTGATGCTTTAATATCTGGGGCTTTGCTGAGACAAAAGAAACTGCCCCTTCCAGGGCCACCTAGTCCCTGCAGAAAGTGCAGGACACACCTACCCATATGCCTTTTGAATGCAAACCAACCAACACAGAGTCCACACTCTCAACCATCCCCTTTATCAGAGTTTTTCCACCCGGATTACTAACCCCCTGCCCTAATCCCCACCCAGGCCAGGGACCAGACCGCTAAGGGACAGCTCCTGTGCCCCAGAGCCAGCTGAAATCATTCACACTGTCCAATTCTAACTCCGCTGAACCTGCCTCACTGGTCCCTCCTGTGCAAACCGTAATGAAGGCTCTTGACCATGTTTTTTTCCCACTCCCTCTGCCTCCTGACCAACTCCGTCGCTTCCCCGTGTAACGCCCATGGTGTGCCCTGCCCCCTTCTTTGGGATCTATAAGTATAACAAACTATCTTTTTAATGGCAAGCATCTCCTGATCTGCTGGCCTTAACATACCTGCATAGTAATAAAAACCTATTTTTTAAAACACCCTTTCCCCCCACGCTCATACCTCTCCCTCCTGGGAGATCCTCAGAGCGTTGCTCCCTCAGACCCCGCCCGCTGCCCCAGCCACCTTCCATCTCAGCCCCGACTGCTGGGGCCACCTTCCTCCAGCCCACCCCCGCAGCCCCAGGCCCCCTGCTCTTAGGCCAAGGCGTCCTCCACCTCTGGGGTCAGAAGCAGTGCCATCCCAACGCCAGCAGGGAATCCAGAGGTGAGGACCATGGGAGAACCTTTATTCCTCGGTTCCCAGGAGAAAATGCACTCAAAGAGCAGAGAGGAGGAGCTGGCTCCGGGCCATACCCTTGTTTATTCATCAATCATTCATTTATTCATTAATCATTCATCCCCCCACCCATCAATCATTCATCTGCTTATTTATTCATTCGGTTTGCTTGTACGTCTTCCTTGCTTTGGCTGTCACAGATGTTGGTCCTCTCTGGCTTTGATCTCTCCTATTTCTGTGGCAGCTGCACAGCAGAGGCCTTCTGACGTCACTTTGTCAGTTACCTGACTGAAAGGGTGTCCCTCTCAGAGGAGCCTGAGACAACCAAAGGAACAGTGCAGAGCTGTCCCCAGCCTGGAAGCCTCGTGGCATTGCAGGCTCAGGCCTTCCGGTCCATGGGTCACTGGGAGGTGTGGAGAGGGGCCGAGCAAGGAGTAATAGTTCTGGGTATGCCTCACAGCTGCTGGAAAACTGCTTTTCTGACCCTTCAGGGAGGTGAGGGCTATAGGAGAGGCTCTGAGCCTCCAGACCTGGCTGTGAGGCCTGAACTCAGCAGTTTGGGAGGTGCAGGGAACGTGGTGTGGGGGCACCTGGGCTAGAGTTTTAGAGGCCTAAGCTATTAGCCCCCCAACAGTTTTCCCATCATCTACCCACCCCACCCCACTCCACCCCAGAAAGTCTATTTTCAGCCAGCAGCCAGAAACCTTTCATGTAAATCAGATCACGTCCTACCTCTGCTCAAGTCCCAGCGGTAACTTCCCATTCACTCAGTGAGACACACCTTGGGTGAAAGAAAGAGCGAATGAATGAACAGGCTCTGGACAGCTCTGAGGGTGAAGCTCCTGAAGCCACCGGTGGTGGGGCTTGCGGCTTCCTGCGGTAGAATTTAGAAGGTCTACAGGGGACTCCATCAGCTGCACTGAGAAGGAAAGAGCCAGGTGAACCCCAGCTGCCAGCTTTCTCCAGGAGGGAAGGTAGGCAGCAGCATCGGCCCCGGGCGGCGCTAACGCGAGATGCCAGCTCCGAGCCGCTCTGGGGCTGGCCGGCACTCTGGATGTCATTAGCTGATTTGTTCTGCTCAGCAGAATGTACTTTTCATATTTAGGCAGGAAAAACAGCTTTCGGTCCTCGTGCCCTTTCTTCTGTGAGCTCTAGCACATGGCCTGCTTAGTATGAATTAATCCTCTAAAGAGCATGTTCATTATTCTAATTTAATTGTGCTTCGTTTCAGAAAATAACTAGACCCAGTGTGGAATAAACTCCTACGCTGATCGGTTTTCAAGAAGTTAACCTAAGACAAAATACTGCTAGAGGGCAGCAGCAATTTGGAATCATTAAAGGCAACCCATGTAAATAATAAAAACAAAACTAAAATGCAGAATTAAATTAAGGAATAGGAAATTAAATTTGTGAATCTGATCTGAAATGGAGGCCCTATATGCACAGGCTTGCCCTGGCTTGGCTCCGTGCTCAGCAGTGCTGGGGCGGAGAGGTCTGCGGAGGTTCCCAGGCCGGGGAGGCGGCAGGCCGGGGGAAGCCCACAGGCCTCCTCCTGGGGGACTAGTGTGCCGCCTTGGGAAAAGGAATATGGGCTGAAGGGGAAGCGAGGGTCCCCTCCCACAGGGTCCACTCAGAGGAAGATGAGAGCCACATTGTCACAGCTACATCGGGATGACGACCGTGGAGCCCTGGTGACTGCTGAAGAACCCACCGCCGGAGTCTGAAGCCAAGAGTCTGCACTGTGGCTTGCTCAAGGATGCACAGGAAAAGCAGAGGGGTGCAGGGTGGCCGCACCCCTGGGAACATTCAGCCCTGCTCTACCCCTGTGCGCCAGCCACCCTCACATAGGTGACCCAGCTCAGGACAGGGACTGAGAGACTTGTCCCCTCCCCTGGCAGCGGCCCCTAAGCAGAGTTCTGATCTCTCTATTGACCCTGTGGGGGCCCAGTTCCAGATACAGGAGACCCACACTGCAGCAGCGGGACAGTCACCTTGGCAGGTCAGGTCTCTGTCAGTCAAGAAGAGCGAGGGAGAGAATGGGGTGGGGACCAGAGAGGAGAGACCTACAGATGTAGGGTGTCTGAGCGAGAGTTAGGGGTACCGGCGCGGAGTGAGAGCCATCGCTCAGGCTTCATTCAGTAGTTTTCCAGGACTTTTAGGCTCAATCTCTGGGGTACCTTCTCCCACCCGCACCCCAACCCTTTCTCTTCCTCTCTTCCCTCCTGCCCCCTTCTTGAAGTGAGAAGAGCTCAGCCTGCAGAGCCAGGCAGACTTGCCTGGGTCACAATTCTTTCTGTAACTTCACTCTGGAGCCTGGATGAACTGTCTTGCCTTTCTTAACCTCAGTTTCCCCATATGTGATAATAATAATACCTGCTTCCTCAGTTTGTCATGAGGAGTAAAGGAAATAAAGCTCCTGGCACGGAGCAGACACTCGGGCACTTCTGCTGTGTCATTTTCTGCTTCATCAGCGTGTGCTCACACATACTCTCTACATACAAATACACACATGTGCATGGAAGCCTTAAGCTGGGCTTCGAGAGCACCATGATTAGTTAAGAAGTCAAGTCCGTAGACTGCCTGCCTCACTTCCAACAGATGGCATATCCCAGAGTTTGAGTAAAGTTTTCCCATTTCCATCTTCACTTTGGTTCCTACAAAGACACCTCAGTTCCTTTTTTGAAACAAAAGGGGAATAGAATCAAGCAAAAGCAACAGTAAAAAAAAGGCACTTTTTTCTTGTTTAATTTGCATCCAGAAGTCCTGATCGGGAAATTACGCACATAATACAGGTCACCATGTTGTTGACTGGTCAGTTACTGAACAGAGCTTGTACCTAAAAATATCAAATATGGTGAGAACAAGGGCAAAAAGAGCTGACAATTCTCTTGAACCCCTTGGCTGCTTCCCCAGTCCCACTTTACTAACTGCCCCAGAGAACATTCTAGATCCCCTGCCCAGCCCATGAATTGCACCTATAGACTGGGGCACTATGACACACAGCCAATCTCAACTCTCCCAGGACAAACCCAGAGACCCCTGTTAAGGAAAAGCTATTCATGACAGTTGTTAAAGCCAGGAAGGCAGACAGTATTCAGGAAGGGGGACGCTGCCATGAAATTTTGTAGTGGGGGTGGGAAATGCTCAGCTCAGAGCACGGCAAAGCAAAGTGGGCATTTATAGCCAAGGAACAGGGTCAGTGAATAAAAAATTAATGAGGAAGCATCAGGGATAAGGGGGGATTCTGGAAAAAGTGACCTAACAAGATTCTTGCTAAAAGCAGGCCCGGGTGACCAGACATTACCTGAGGGATGGTGGAGGATAAGGAACCCAATCACATATCAAGGGTGATCAGACATCAGGGGTGGAAGATTCTGACTAAAATGAGTTAGCAGAATTCTTGCTAAAATTGAACAACGCAGACATGATCGTGGGAGTCCAACAGTCAGCACCTAGTTGGGAAGACAGTTCAGAGGAGCCTGAGTTTGGTCAAAGATAGAATCTTTGTCATTCTGGAGCAGTTACATGGCACGGATCTAAGACTGGCTGAAGATCCACCTTTGGTGTCAATGGAGGGGAGGCTGGAGAGCCAAGTCCCAGCCGGGTGCTACCAGGGCTTCAGGGGGTGGTGTTAACCTGGAGGTAAAAACGACGGTCAGGAAGGTCACACTAGTGGCCTGCACCTAGATCTGGGATAACTGCTGGAAAATGACCCCTCAGACCATAAACGTTAGTTTAAGAAAAAGCCACTCAAATCTTTTAGATACACAAAATGCAAAAAGCTTTCAACCGGGCCTTGTCCCACAGAACCCATCTAAAGGGCGTTAATTTCTAGGAGGCTGGAGTTAGCTTGGTCCATTCAGTGGTTTCTGTATTTCTGATCCTGGGTGAAAACTCTGCATCCAGAGGGTGGACTTGTCTACCCAGGAGCACCTTTGTGTGGGGTCAGCTTCACCATTTGATCGTGAAGATTCAAATCATGTCTACCCAACAGAAGAGCTTCCAAGGTGGCTCCACCTTAAAGGGCCCAGTTGGTTTCTCTCAAGCAGCCAGATTCCCTTCCATATAAAGCCCATATTGCTCGGGCTTACATGACCCCTTCCTCCTGCCCACCTCCCCCCACATATAAAGTGGATCCCTTTTCCCCCTGGATAATAATAATGTTGTTGATAATAGTAGCCATAATAGTCAACACTTATTGAGAGTTTACTCATTGCCAAATATTTGTTCTAAGTATTTTGTAAGAATTAGCCCATTTAATGCAACAACCCTGAGAGATGGGTATTATTGTCCCCCATTCTAAAGATGAGAAAACTGAGGCTGAGAGAAACTGAGGCCCATTATGACAGCAAAATAGAACAGCACCACAGCTCAAACCTAAACAGTACAGTGACTCCAGAGCCTCCTCACCACGATAGAGCACTTCCTGTTGGTCACCAGCTCCCCTCTCCACAAACCTATCCAGAGTGACCCTAAGTCTCAGCCACAAAGAAAAGAGAATTAAGCAGGCCCATGTTTTCAAGACGCCTTTACACCACTTTCTCCCCTGGTCCTTATGGCTGGGTCTTCACGGCCCTCCTAAGTTTTGGCAGAGGTTGCGGCCTGGGCTCTGTGGGATACGTGGTTTATAGACAGGAGCGCGCTTTATTCTGTTTCATTGGCTGGCTTCTTACAGCCCATGAGAGCAACGCAGGCTTGGCATCTGGGAGAGCGTTCCTGGAGGAACCGCCTCGTCAGTATGCAGGCGCTCATTTAAATTCCAGGCCCCGGCTTTAAGACACACATCTGCAGTGGGCATATGTATTGAGATAGATGAAAACAGAAATGCTTTTCCATTGTATCTGTGTTATTAGAGTTGACCTACCATCCAAACAGCGCAGAAAGAGTGGAAAATTAAAGGTGATTTGATATTAGCCTCCTATTCACATTAGAAAAAGTAACTGCTCTTGCGGTTTTCCTCACAGAGGTGTCTTTATTCATTTGACATGCCTTTAATAACTAATTCTAGTTGTCTGGTTGCCAAGAAAGATTTCCTACAGGCAGACTTGAAAGTGACTCGGAACTCTTTGCATGCCCGGCTTCAAATGATCCCAGAACAGCAAACATTCAGCTTCCCTCCAGACTTCTGAAGTGTGGGAATGACATGAAAGAATGAAGCAGAATCGTTCTGCAGCTCGCATATGCTCGGACTGGAGCCGTCTGGCAGGGGTTGCCGCTGGGTCTACGCGGACCAGGCAGAGTGAGATTTGGAAACAAGCTCATGCATTTGATCCGTGGAGTCAGCCAAACCAAATGATTTATTTCAAGAAAATAAATCTACTCAGGGGCTCGAATGATCCAGGTCAGTCATAAACAAACTGTTTTCCTCCATCTGTGTAGACCTGGAGCAGGCAGAGAGGGACAGGGAAAGCACCACAATTGCTCTCAGAGGGTCGCAACCGGAGATCACGCACTATGAATATGTGTAAATATTCACTACAGTGATTATTTATTCACCTACATGTGGATCACATTTACTCCTCACAATCATCCCACCTGTCAGGTGATTATTCTCATTGTACAGAGGTGAAAAACGAGCCTCTGAGATGTTCAATGACTCACCCAGGACACACAATTTGGGGGTAAAAGTTGGCCAGTTGTTCATCAAGCATGACCCTTTTCTTCCTGGGTGCATAGCCAGATACCGCTTGCAGGATCCCTTGCTGTTACATGCAACCATATGACTCAAGTCTGACCAATAGAAAGTTGGTAGAAGTCCTTCCCAGGCCCATAAAACCTGCCCATACACAAATCTCTCTTCCTACCAGTTGCCAAATACAGAGGATGCTGAGGATCTAGAGGAGGGTCAAATCTAAATATGGAAGAATCCAGGATCTTCAATAACTGCTTGGAGCAGAGCCCCCTCCTCATTCCTTTTCCTGCAGTTGGATAGTGATATGAGCTAGAAATAATCTATTGTGTTAAACCACTGAAATTCAGCTACTGTTGGTTCCAGCGAAAACCCTAAACTGACGAGTACA